ACGGCCCTTGGAACGCCGCGGTTCCGGTGTCTCGCTGGCAGCCGCAGGTGCCGCGTCAGAGACAGTTCGAGCCCCACGGTCCCCCGTTAGGTGACGGGAGAGCTGCTCCGGGGCTGTGCAGAATTACCCTGTGTTTCTTTTCGTAAACAGAATCGCAGCCCAGCAGCTTGTGCTCATTAAGCTTTAATGCGGTGCAGTTGTCAGCACGCTGCTCCGGGCGCAGCCTCGCGCTGCCTCCCCTGCTGCGCCCGGTTGTGGGGTGCGATGGAGCTGCCGACACGCAGGCGCTGCTCCCCCCTCCGCGACCCGCTCCGAGGTCTGCAGGACCAGGGTTGCGTTCCAGGGAGCTGCAAGTGCCTGGCGCTCTGGGAGCGTTTGGTTTTATTAATTGGCTTGTTAACGATGCGGCTCGCTGCCCCAGCGGTGCGGCACCCCCACCCCAGTGGTACCAGTGGGCTGAGGATGCTCCCCGGTGTGGGGAGCGCAGCCGGGGGGGTCGGGGTGAGGGGCACTCCTGGCTCGGGCAGAGGCCCCATGGAGATGTTAATTTTGTCTGGTGCAGATGGTACCAAGGAGGCATCCTCCCCCAGGCCTTTGTTTCTGAATTTTGGCTGATTGCTTATGATTTGGCTGTGCTTGCTCTACAGAGAGGAGGGGTTTTGTTTTTTTCCTTTCGTTTTTGAGCCCAACTGTGTGAAATATCTCGGGGGGGTAAGAGGGGAAGCGAGAAAATGTCATTGCAGACAGCCTATTTCTGGATGCACTCCCGTGCGGGCGAGGTGGCGCTGGGCGGGCGCTGATGTGACGTGCTGGAGCCGAGGGAGGCTGGTGGCCTCCGGGGAGTCGGAGTTGGGTCCCTGGTGTGTTTTTAACCTTTGCCTGGTTCAAATGCTGTTTGTCACCTCCATCTGCGGTGGCCGACGCATCCCTGGGGGTTGCTGGGCACGTGGGGATGGGGGGCAGGGAGAGCTCCGCTTGCACCCCTGCAGCCGCAGGCATCCCCAGGCACTGGTGCTGCTGGTGCAGGGAGAGGTGGGCTTTGTGCCGGGCTGCCTCCTGCTTCTCCTGGGCAGCAGAAGTGGAGACAATTTCCCTGTGGCCGTATCGAGGTCCTGCCCTCCCGGGCTCCGAAATTCCCGGGGGAGGTATGTGAGTCACTCTTGGTGCGTTAGCAGAACTGTCATGCCAACGAGGCGTAGCGAAGACCTGCCGGGAGTAATTTTGACCTCCTGGCTGCAACGACCTCCAGTGAAAGGGGAGCCTGGCCCTGCCCTGCTGCGCATCGCCCCGTCGCCCCCTCTGCTTCCACGGTGCCTCCGACAGCTCCGAGCCAGCGAGTTCACGTAAGGACCGAAGTGGCAGAACAAGATGCAGTAATTGGTGCTTACAGCGCTGAGAGAGTAAATGTTTAAATGAAGAGCTGGCTGTTTTCCTGGGGCTCTCCAAGTCGCTTTTGGTGTGATGCCAGCTACGGATTGACGCCTCCCATGGCTGCTGTCGCTACCTGCCACCCCTCCGCTGCGCGCGGGGCTGCGCGGGAGCTGCGGCGGCGGGGTGTTGTTCTGATGCACTGCGGAGCTCGGCCGTGCGGGGAAGCTCCCTGCTTTTATTTTCAGGCATGTAAATTGTGAGCGGCTCAGTAGAGCTGGGCAGAAATCAACTGGTATGAGTGTAAGGAAGACGTGACCTGGGGGAAGATGAAGCGAGAGGATAACGTCACACTGCTATTGATGCAGAGCTTTAACATGGAGCACGCAGGCCAGAACAAATGTGCTCCAAGCAAATGTCTGCTCCAAATATTTCCTGGTACCTGAATTATGGCCTTCAAGCCTGCAGCATGTTTGGGTTTTTTTTTTTTTTTTTTAATAACTTCCTTAAGAGGTCCAAAATGCAAAGGATTTCCGTCATTTCATCCCCTTAAGGAGAGATGGCTGTGGGCAGAAAAGTAGGAGTTGAAATAGCTGGATTTCAATCCAAGCTTCTTCCCTGGAGTTGAGTGATTTCTCTCTCCAACTCCCTATTCCCCCCCCTTCACACATCAGACAGAATCCAAATGTTTCTCAATTTAAAGCTTTTGGGTGCTTGGATGGGAGTCCGACTCCTGTGAGTGCCGGGCGCTGGGCTGAGAGCTGCCTCAAGTCCCCCGGGAGCCGTGTGAGCCCGGCGCTGCCCGGCGGCGCTGCGTCAAGGGGATGGTTTCTGTGTGCGCTGGGCGTTAATTTAAATCACCGGAGTAGGAGGTGAGCGTTCAAGTAGCCGACCCAGTAGGACCTCAGCAGTTGGAGGCTTTCTTCTGGTCTTTGAACTGCGGGGACCTTGGGAAGCGAGCTTTGGGTTCCTGTACCTCGTGAGCATGGTTGGTGATGTGCGGCCGAGCAGCGTGTCCCTGCACAGTGAGTGCAGCCCTGCCATTTCGGGGACAGCCAGGGGAAAGCCACCCTCCCAGGGGGACCTCTGTATTGCCACCAGTGACCCACTGCAGCCAGTGGCCGGCCGGGCCACC